ACTGACACCATCCAGCCGCAACAGAGGGAACTGAGCCAGGAAAGGAAGTCCCTGCAGCCAGCACTCGGCCACTCCACCCGGAGGTGACACCAGCACTGCCACTCACCATCCCTCAGGAAGAGCTAGCAAGTCGTGTGGCCTCACCACGGGGGGAGTATGACTCCCAGGTGGTCTCCCACAGAGGGTTGGCCAGAGCAGCCATGAACCCCGCCTGGAGGGGCCATGCAGCGGCAGCCCCCATGTGCTCATGGTGAAGCCAACCTCATCTACAAAATGGGACTGGCTTCCTTCCCAAAAGAGAAGAGAACCCAGGATGGTGATCATGCATTTTGTCACCTATCACACAGTCCTAAATCCTAGGGAATTTCTGCAAGGCTCTGTCTCCCCCATTGACAAGCACTGACAAAGAGTGAGATCGGGACAGTGATATAAGTGCCCCGAGTGGTCCTCGGAGCCACCCTCAGACCAGTCATAAGATAGGAAGCACCGTGATTGGTAGCAAGGGGTCAGAGCAGAGGATAGCAGGGTTGGCAAAGGGGAAAACCACAAAGGCAGTAGGGGAAGGGCACCGCCGTCCTGAGCAAACCAAGTCCTCACGGCTGAACGTAAAACGGACATGGGCACTCAGTTCCACAGCCCGACACGTGGAGATTGAAGGGTCATGGTGTGCACAGATGAGCCAAGCAGGCCTCGGTCTCCATGGAGGGTTTTGTACAGTGATTCACCTTGCGCCTTCCCCTCATACCTACTTTGGGTGAGGGAACTGAGCACATGAGAAGGTTTGGAACAAAACCGTCGTGTGACACTAGGTCAGCCCCCTCCTGCTCTTAGCTCTGCAGCCAGCCAGGCTGGGGGCTATGAGGTAACCAGACATAGAAGGACCCTACAGGTGGGAGACTCACAAGTCACCTGCCAGCCCCATCACCACTGGCCAATCCCCCAGGTCAGACATCTGCCTCTGTCCCCACCCTGGGCAGCCTGAGCTCCACCTCTATCCTCCTGGCTGGGTCCCATCTTCTCTCCCCGCCGCTCTGGGCTACTTCTGCCTCTAGGTACAGAAGAACCTCCCTGCCACCCGCCCAGACAAAGGAGAATCTTTTAGCTCTGCTTGGTCTCCTGTCTGCACCTGGGGATGCAGAGTGTTCCCGTCACCTCTTCCCTGCCAGGAGCTTCAATTCAGCTGGCTGGAAGCTGAGCCCTTCCTTTTCTTTCTTTTCTCTCTTTTCTTTCTCCAACTGCCCTTCTGGGAGAGAGAAAGAAAGCCAGGTCTTCTTGGAAATGCCCATCCTGCCATTGCATGGATCCACCAGCGTTGAAATCTCAACACTAAAAAAGAACCCGGGGAGCGTGGCTCCACAGCTGTGCCTGGTACTTCTGTGCTCAGCGACGCCATGGGTTTCGTACCCTCTCCCGGCCAACTCCCTCCCCACCAGCTTTGTCTCTCTCATGTCTATTTTAGTGGCTGATCGGTGCGCCTCTGTTTCCCAACCCAGGGTTTACGCATGTGTATTTCTATACATTATTCCCTCCACGGAGGCTTCTGAGCCATGAAAATGGCTCCTTATGCAAATCAAGGGCTCCTCCATCTGCTTCCGATACCCCCACTTCCCCTCCTAACCTGTTTGAAGGGATGCGGTACAGGCAGCAGATGATGCGACTTTATTTTTGTAAACCCAGTTGGTCCTGGAGTGCTGGCAGCCACAATAATAGGAGAGTATGCCTGTTGCTGCCTCTCCATGGGAAACCAGCCGGGAGGGGCTCCTGGGCACAAGGGAGGGGACGGCTCGGGGTCTCAGCAGAGAGGCCGACTGGGTCCTTGCCCTCTCTGCTCCTTAATGTGCCCCTCTTCCTGCCGGGTCAGGGCTTGCTGTGGATTGAACTGTGCTCCCCACCAAAAAAAGACACGTCGAAGCCCTAACCCCTGGTGCCTCTGAGTAGGAAAAATTAAGGTGTAATTAAGAGAGAAGTTAAGAGGAGGTCATTTTGGAGCGGGGCGGGCCCTCCATCCAGCAGGCCTGGTGTGGTCCCAAGGAGAGGAGGGGACGCAGAGACACATGCAGGGGAGAAGGTCGTGTGAAGAGGCAGAGGCTGGAGGGAGCAGTCACAGCCACGGAGCACTGGGGGCTGCCAGGAGCCGCCAAAGCCAGGAAGAGACGAGGGAGGACTCTCCCCTAGAGGCTTCAGGGACAGCGCGGCCCTGCAGACACCCTCCCCTCGCAGGGGATGACCGCCCAGCAGCGCCTCCCATCTCACAGGCGCAGGTGTGACTGGGACAGCGCTTGTCCTTCTGTTTGTCTTCACTCCCCACTGCCCCTCAGTTCCCGCTTCAGGGCCTCAGGATAGGTGCTCAAAAAATATTTGACAGAATGAAGGCGGAATGTCAAGGAACTGTCCCCAGGTAGCAGCACAGCCACAGGTAGAGGTGGGGACAGGAAAACACACCTCCATGTGAATGGGTGTTATCTCTTGAGACTTCATTTAACACCTGAAGGACACTTACATGCCCCTTCCCGAAGCTGCTTTCCCTGGTGAAGGGTACCCAGGATTCCGGGCACTTCTGCAACTTTCTGTGAGTCTATAGTTATTTCAGAACAAAAGGTGATGGTCACTTTTTTTTGTTTTGACAAGAGGCTGCAAAGCCCAGCAAAGGCCAATCCATCACCACCTCACCCAATCCTGAAGCTCCAGAAGACAGGGTTTGACTTCCCAGGAAGGAAGGCGTTTAGGGAGAACTGTCTCTTCTAATCCTCTGTTTTCAAACCTCCATGGAACCAGCTGTGTGGCTCACAGCAGACGGAAGGAGACTGGGGTGCGGGAGTGGGATTTGTGCAAAGAAGTGGGTGGCTGAAGTGGGGTTGGGCCAGCCAGCCAGCAGGATGGTGCCTCGGCTGGAGGTGGTTGACCCTGCAGTGATGAACCACACGTGCTCTGCCGGGGCTCCGAAAAGTAGGAGGATGCTCATGTGAGGTCAAGGGGTAGAGGACACAGGTCTGTGACAGAGGGAGAACAGCTACGGCTAGCCCTGGGACACCACGGAGGTGACGCTGGGGTCTGGGTGCACTCCTGGTCAGAGGAACCAAGGGAGAGTGGATTGTGGAGGAAGGAGGGAAAGTGAAGAAGGAAGGGTCGAGGGCACTGCTCATCCTGTCCCTGTCCCCCGAGGCTCTAGAACAGGGGCTGGCAAACTCCTGTCAGGGACAAACCCAGCTTTGCCAGCTGGGGGAACCGAGGGTTCCCCCAGCTCCCCTCACCCCACTCCCTTGGCTCCCCCAATGCCCCCTACTCCCCAGCTCCCCCGACCCACTCCCCCGGTTCCCCCAGCTCCCCCGACCCCCCCAGCTCCCCAGACACCCCCCAGCTCCCCAGATCCCCATGGGTTCCCTGGCTCCCCAGACCCCCATGGCTCCTCCAGCTCCCCTGACCCCCTGGCTCCCCAGACCCCCACGGCTCCCCCGGCTCCCTTGGTTCCCCTAGCTCCCCCCACTCCACTCCCTCGGTTCCCCCAATGCCCCCCACTCCCCAGCTCCCCAGACCCACCCTCCTGATTTCCCCGGCTCCCCCAACCCCCCCCACCGCAGCTCCCCAGACCCCCATGGCTCCCCCAGCTCCCCGCCTGTGCTTGTGAACAACGTGCTCCTGGGACCCAGCATGCTTGCTAGAGTTCATCCATGGCTGCCTCCCTGCTGCACGGCACAGCCGCGTGCCTCTGAGAGGCTGAGACCTTCTGGCCTGCCAGGGGCCTGGAGTATTTACAACCTGGCCCTTGACAGAATTTCGCCAACCCCCACCCAATCCAAGTCATCCCCGCCGCAGAGGAGCCAACCTGAACACCCACAAAGCCTGGATGGGAGGGTGTTTTAAATGAGATTAGGCAGCATTGAGCACATCCCATGGAGAGGAGGAACCGGCATAGTGAGTTCTCTTCGTACTTGCCCCGGAGAAAGCCTCCAGCAGCGCGCCATGGACAGAGTGGGCTTTGCGGGGGCCAAGCTGGAGTGAGGCACCTGCTCTGTTATCAATTTAAAGTTGTTTTTCAAAGCAGGGATGGTACCACGGAGCAGCAGAATTGTCCTCATCACCCTGGCCCTCGGCCCTCTGCCCTCAGTGAATAGATCCCCCACACGTGGCCCCGTCCACCAGCAGAGCATTCTCACCAGGACCTGCCACAGAGTATGAAATGCGCACGGCGCAGAGCCCTGCCTCCTCCACCTTTGTGCCGCAGACTGGGCTCAGTGACAGCTCGCCCGACAGCTCATCAGTCGGGGGCCAACTGACACTAGCTTCCTTTGAGGCCATGATGGAATCCATCATGAAATTCAGCACCAAGAGGCAGCCCAGCCCTGCAAGCCAGACCACAGACATCAGAGTGGAGGATGACCGCCCCAGCAATTCCCTTGATCGGCGCCAGCCTGTGTAGGCCCTGGAGCTTCAAAGACGAGTGAGCCTCTGCTCCAGCCCCAGGCACCCCGCAGTGGGGCTGGAGAGGCCATGAGCAAGCCCTGCCAGGTTCATCACCATAGCATGATCTTCTGGGGAGGTGCCCACCAAGTGCCATGGGACCACCGAGGACAGAGCCTCCGGGAGCTTCCAGAGCAGCTCTGAGAAGACCATCTACGCTGGGAAACGGGGTCTGTTTGCAGTAGTGGATTCTAAGTACCTCACATTGCAAATATTCCAGGCCTGGCCGGTTAGACGGTCTCGGCCTGTCAGAGCCACGTGGCCATGCCGTGCAGCAGGAAGGCAGCCACAACGAACGTGGTGGAGTCATACTGTGGGCTGGTGACATTCTTGGACCTCTGCCCTAAGGTCAATGGGGCTTTGCCCCCAAGTCCAGGAGCTGCTCCAGGCTCAGGACTTAACAATCATCCACGCAGAGCCTGCCTCCTTTCTCCTCGGAAGAAGCACAGGCAGACTCCTTCCCGGGACGTACTGCATGGAGAAGCCCCGCTGTCACTCCCAAGTCCCCAGACCCCACTTAGCCCCACATAGACTGTGCTCACCCATGGGGGAGGGACTCCTGCCGCCATCCCAGGAGGGTCTGCAGTGCAGGTGCCCACCCTCCCTTTCAGCCTCTGCTCGCCGCCCGGAGGCCCCAGGTGGACATGAGGAGGCTGGCTGAGTGTGCGGACGAGGGCGGCCCCAGCAAGCAGGTGGGCCTGGGCAGCTTGGCGGCTGAGCGTTCTTAGCATCCGAGGCAGCTTCACTTTTCGGCAGCCAGTGAAGGACAAGCGCCCTGTAAATTTAGAACGTGTGCTGGCTGGCTGCTTTTGGTATTCATCTGAGTTCATGGGGGAGGCGGAATAACCCACCCTGGCCATGCCCTCACATCTCAGCCCACGTCGGTGCTTGCAGAAGGGAAAACCTTTCCCAAAAGTAAGACGGTGATGGGCCCCTCTAAGGCCAGTCCCAACACCAGCCTTGGCAGCCTTCCAAGGGGACCCTCCTCTCCTCCTCACATTTAGCTAAAAATAAAGCCCTTTTTGGCAGCAAACGCACCCAGTTTCCCCAGAACATAAGCTCCCTGGGAATCTAGAATCGAAAGAGCTCTACCTCTCATGAAGCCCAGATGGGTTCCTGAAAATCTGTGTCCATGCAATTTGGGCAAATCAATCACGTTCTCCATGACTCACCTTCATCAGGGATGCATCCCTCACAGCTGACCACCGGGGCCGCTGACCACTGCTCCGCACACAGCAGGCCGGACAGTGCCGGCTGCAGCAAACCCTGCCAGAGGGGCCAGCTGCTGCCGGGGAGGGACCTCCAGGGGTGTGCACGTCAGGGGCTCAGGTTCCCACAAAGTAAGGCAGACCTGAATACAGATGACCCCCTGCCACGTGTGGGGATTCTTTTAGATCTTGGCTTAATTTCTTCTCAGGTGGCAGCACCAGAATTACCCTGGAGCCTCTCACCTGACTTCACAAAGTTGTCCTCAGGGCAAATGATCTGAGTGTGAATAACTGCCCTGGAAAGGGGAAGAGGGAGGAGGAAAAGAAAGGCTCAGTTTCCACTTTGTACACGTTATCCCATGCAGCTCCTAAAGGCAGAAGACTTAGCCCGAGGCTAGCCAGTTGCAGGCTGGGACTCCATGCAGAGCCTGGGGCAGCACAGAGGGGGCTGAGGTGGGGCCCAGGTGAGTTAATTTGCGTTGCAGAGAAGCCTCTGGATTCGGACAGAGGAGGAACCAGGTTGCAGGCAGGGAGGCTCGGCCAGAGCTGATAATGGTGCAGTGGCTACAGATATGGACAGAAAGGGTCAGATCCAAGGCGAGTGGGCCACATTTGGGAGGCTGGAGGAGTGGAAGTAACCTAGTCAGCAGTGGAGGTCCACGCTCCAGGCTGGGAGCCACAGATGCCACCACAGGGAGCTTGCTCTTCAGGAAGGAGCAGCCGGGGGCCCCTGCCTCTGTCCCCACTGTTGACAAGGTGGAAAGAGGGCATGGGGCACAGAGTCTTGGCCTTGCTGCCCTCACATTGCCAGGGCAATAACCTTCTATAATCCTGGGACACAGACAAGGCCACAGGCACCGATTCCTGCCCCGTGACCCTCTTTCCTCAGGTGACTATTAAACACGTGTGTGTGAGTGTGTGCACACATGCATGCTGCATGTTGGAGAAGGGGCAGCCCCTGCCGAAACTGCTCTCAGCAGGTGTGTGTTTGATTCAGCTGACAGACAGAAGCTCTGGCAGCGGACTTTACCAGTTTACACCAAGGGAAAGGGCAGTCCCCAGCTGGAGGCAGCATTCCTTCAAGGAAAGAAAGACGCAGCACTTGCCCTGTCTCAGGTCCACGCAAGGTCCTGACTCTCATCATTTCTTTCAGCTTTCACATGCCTGTGAAGGAAGCATTGTCCCCATTCTCTAGATGAAGGAAACTGAGCTTAGAGAAGTTCCTAAGAACCAGCTGGGGGAGCTGGGATTTGAACCGGGCATTTCATGCCTGCTCTACTTCATGGCCTCTGCCCCATGTTTCCTTTGCAGAATGGCCCCAGGGCAGGGACAGGCTGAGTTCTTTGTCCCCCCCCCCCCCCCCAGCTGGAGGCAGAGAGTCGAGTCCAGACCTCAAAAATCCTCCCAAGGCTGCACCTGGCCATGCCCATTGGCTGGTGGCAGCAGAACAGGAATGGTGACGCTGCCATTGAGGGTGGCCATGAAAACCCACCCCTCCGTGCTCAACATCAAACCCATGGCTCTGTGCTCAGCACAGTCTGCACCTGCCGGGGTGGGGCCTCTGGGCTTCCATGACTGTTTCTTTCTCTCCCGGCCAACTGGGGGAGTTTTCTGAAAAGCATTTCCATTACTTCAACCCTAACAAAAACCAGCATCAACTCTGCACCGCCAGGGGCCCCTGAGCATGAGGCATTGATACCCAGCGACGGGGAACGGGAAGTTCTCAGGATGTGGCCCCACTGGGGAGCCCAGGGGCTGGTCATGGGCGCTTTGCAGCATGGGAGGGCAGCCTGGGTCATCTCTGGCCAGGGAGTCTGAGCAGCCTCTAGAAAGATCTGTGGTATCACTTTTTCCTTATTATAAAAGTTATACATATTCACTGTAGAAAATTTAGAAACTACACATATGCAAAAAGAAGAAAATAAAAATAACCCATAATCCCACTAACCCGAAATAACTCCTGTGAAAATTTTGAGCATATATACACTCCCAGACTTTCCTATGCATAGAATGTATATTTTGGGTTCTAAGTGGGATCATACTGTACATTCCATTTTGTAACTTTTTCCCTTTTAACTCTATGTCATACCAAATCATTAAGTATTCTTCCACAACAGCATTTTTAAATGGCCGAATTAGACAGCAACTACCCAAGGGATGGTTGAGGGCAGGAGAGGAAATTTCTCAACACGGAAACTGGCAATTAAGCATTCAGTATGAAAATGCCCTTTGCAAACAAACGTGTTTTCTCTCTTTAGTCCAAATTCTACAATATCAAAAAACCAAAATGTCATCTGGCTTGAGACAGGACACCCCATTGCCCATAGCTGGTGACGGCTTCAGGAGGAGCCGGCGTCACTGTTCTGCAGGGCTGCCTGCCCCTCCCTGCAGGTGGGACGTTGTCTGGATATTTCTGAGGCTGTAGGACTGCAGTCGTCAGAGGGAGGTGGGAGGGGTTAGAACGAATCCAAGGGGGTCCCACAGGACTCACTTCGGCTCTGGGAAGAGCGAGATGCTTCCCTCACATATGAAATGGGAGCTCTGTGGGGTCTGCCCAGTGATCCCCAGGTCCTAGAGGGGCTGACACCCTCTCCAGTCCAACCTCGGAAATGGCCAGAGGCGGTTCCACACCACTGGTCCCTGAAGCTTGGTAGCAAATCCAAGAAAGAGGGTGACTCCGGGGGTAGAACCAGCAGTGAACACTCTTTGCCATGCCAGCCCCCAGACCCACCCGTGACCTAACAGTGGCATCTGGAGATGAAATCATGCTCATCAAACATCACTGGTCACATATCAGGTCTCCCCAGTTAATTCCAGTTTCCCTTCTCAATGTGCTTTAGGGAAGCCCCTTCAGGAAAATGCCCACCTGCCACGTGCAAAATGGAGACAGAGGGAGGTGGTCGCCCTCCTTGGAAGTCGGTTTGACAAGTGCCCCAGGGACTGGGCCCAGAGAGACGAGGGCTGAGGGGAGAAGCATGGGAGACTCAGCTCTTGGGGGCTGCCATGCGGGCAGCTCTTACACCCAGAGGAATCCCAGCTGAATCAGGATACTTTCACCTGCACCAACAGAAACCTGACCCAAACTTGCTGAAGCCACAAGGAAGCGTGCTGGTCATGTGACAGGAAGTCCAGGCTGTGGCAGCTGCAGGCCAGGTAATTCAGCCCCTCCCTCTCTATGCCACAAGGACACGGGTCCTGTCCCCTGCCTGCTCTGCTGCCCTCAGCATCAGCCTCCCCCTTGGGCTAGAAGCCGGAGCTCCACGGCAGCACCCCAAGGTCCCTCTCAGAAGCCAAGTGCTGTTTACAGAAGCCAACTCCTGTCCTCCCTCCCCCGAAAGACACTTTGTCTCATTGGTGGGATCTGGGGATCACCCATAGGTCAGGAGAAGAGGGAGGATGACAGAGGGTCCCGGAAGTCAGCACACCAGCAAGGCCTCTCTCCAGCAAAGCTCGCTCCTACCTGCCTTCGGAGAGTGTCATGAGGGAACAGTGGCCTCCAAGCTCTCGATTCCTTCACTTTCTCCCCTGTTGCCCAAGTGAATCACCCCAAATGAATGAGGCCCTCAGATGACCCACAGGGTAGAAGGGGGCTGCTTGCCGCTCCAAGTTTCCTGGGCTTGCAGGTCAGCTGCATGGCTGGGAGGCCTGGCCAGACCACATTCTGGGGGCTCGGGATAGCCAGCCCGCAAAGACACAGCATGCCTAACTAGGCAAGGTTGTCTGTGTTGGTGACAGTCATCCTGACACAGGAATAACCTGTCCTCTACGCCCAGGAAGCCTGCAGTGCTGAGCTGTCTGCATTTTCAAGGGCCACCATCTGCCACTTACTCCAAGGAACAGGGTGGGAAGAGTCCACACAGAGAGGGGCCACGGGTTGGTCTCTGCTCCCCCTCAGTCACAAACCCCCTCCACAGCTCCCCCAACCACTGCACCCCTGCCCATGACCAGCAGCGGCAGGGTCATCTCCATGGGGCCCTCTCTCCACAGCTTCCCAAGCATCAACAGGCCCGCTCTCCCTTCCCTCTCCCAAATTCCATTCCTGGCTAGAATTAAGCTGGCCAGGGAGAGAGAGCTGCAATCCCTATGGCCAGGCAGTCCAGTCTCAGACACCCTGACTCTGTTGCCCAGACTGGAGTACAGTGGCACAATCTCAGCTCGCTGCAACTTCTGCCTCCCAGGCTCAAGTGATTCCCCTGCCTCAGCCTCCCAAGTAGCTGGGATTACAGGTGTGCACCACTACTGCCTCGCTAATTTTTGTATTTTTAGTAGAGATGGGGTTTCACCATGTGAGCCAGGCTGGTCTCGAACTCCTGACTTCAAATGATCCACTTGCCTCAGCCTCCCAAAGTACTAGGAGTACAGGTGTGAGCCACGACACCCAGCCCACCCCATTATTCTAATCACTGTCAGACGTGCCCTTGTCTTGCCCTGCAGAGGCCAGGTTATGTGTGTTCCAGTAAAATACAGCACTGAGGAAGCCTGGGCATCTATAATCTGCCAGCCCAGTGGCCCTGTTTAATTACAGCTCCAAAACACCCACCTTGGCTGCCTCAGCCCCGCCAACGGTGATCCACTGCCCTGATGGAAAGCCTGTCACCCTTGGGCCTCCTCAGCCACGGGTGTTTTCCCACTGAAGGAACCAGCCACAGGGCAAGTGTGCCCCGCCCTGGATTAGCACTTTGCAGAGGCCCACACTATATCATCCATCCTCTGATGGAGCCGGGAAGCAGGACAGGGACCTGCTTGGCAGGCATGTGTGTGATGTGTGGCTGCCATAACAAATCACCACAAACGTGCTGGCTGAAAGCAACACACATTTATCTTCTCACAGTTCTGGAGGCCAGGGTCTGAAATCAAGGTGCGGGGAGCACCCTGCTTCCTCCAAAGATGCTAGGGAAGGCTCCTCCCTTTCCCCTGGCGTTACCAGCAGTGCTCAGTGCACTTGGCTTGTGGCCCCATCACTCCCAGCTCTGCCTCTGTCCTCATGGGCCCTCTCCTGTACATCTGTCCTCCCCTCTTTTTAGAAGGGCACCAGCCATTGGATTTAGGGCCCACCCTCATTTTAACTTGATGACAAAGACCCTATTTCCAAGTAAAGCCCCATTCACATGTGTGGGAGGTTAGGATTTGGCTATGAGGGGTACACAGCCAGCCTGCCACAGTGGGTGTCCCCCACAATGCCAAAGAGGGGACAGGGTCCTTGCTCCTCCTGGGCCATGCTGGACAAACGACTCCCTTAGACTGGCCAAGTTCTGTTTCCCTAGAACCCTCGCCCACAGGTCCTGTTTCTGCCTTTGAACAAAAAGGGACAAATCTACTTCCTCCTGCCCATGACAGACCTTGAAACTGGGGAGCAACGTGACAGGCCTACCCTCTCCCCAGTCCCCCAAGGCTCCCAGCTCCAATTATGACCCTTGCCTCTCTACCCCAAATTGAGGAGGTGAGTCCCTCTGTGCCTAGCTCCTGGGCCAGGCCAGCCCTAGGTGGTCACTGTCCCTCCTACACAGCAAGTCACAGAATGGACCCCAAGTGTCCCAGGAGGACAGGCTAGTGGGGGCAGGGTAGATGCTTCCCTTCAGATGTGCATCGTGCACTGTGAGTGGGGGTGCTGGTGGAGGCAGCACTGGGCAGGGTCTCCACACGCAGCACTCTGGAGCCCAGCACAGGGGTTGGGCAGAGACGCCAGTCAGCTCTTCCCCTTGAGCCGGGCTGTCCTTTCACCATTTGACTATGTTGCAAACACAAACCCCAACATGTAAAACCTCCCGAAGAGGAGCCGCCCCTTCCCTGGCTGTAGTGAATACACGCAACAACACAATGAGTCTTCTCTCCCGCAGGCTAATGGCCCTGTGGCATCAGGAGCCTCTGTGTGTGCCTGGCGTGCAGCAGGAATTTAACTAAGCCATTTGGATGGACAGAGGAATGAACGATGCACAGATGACCTGGCTTCAGCAGAGACAGGCAGCTGGAGGTTTTCCTTTCTATGCCCCTGCCCCCCACCTGGGAGCCCATGAGGCACCTCCCTGTGGTGAAGGGAAAATTTGGCCTTGGGGAAGGCAGGGACGACCAGTCAGGGCAGGAAGCCTCTGTGCCACCTCCCTTCCAAGGCCAGGTTCCCTGCTCTGGAGCTGAGCTTTCCCTGGGCCCAGTAACAGCAGGAGAGGAAAGGCGGGTGGGCTTTGAGAATCATCCTGGCCAACCCCTGCCTTTAGGGCAGTACCGGCAATGCATTCATAGAGGATCTTGGGCTCTGTGTGGTTCCTTCATACCCAAGATGAGATTGGCAGGCAACAGGTGCCCATGTGTGGGCTGGACATCTGTCATTCCCAGGAGACCCAGAAGGCCATCACAGTGAGCTCAGGTCTCAGCCCCAGAGATCAGGGGAGGGTCTGATCACAGCGGCCCAGAAGCAACGTCAACACTGTATATAAAGCCAAGCATGGGTATGACCCATATGTAAAGAGTACCCTGAAATTAATAAGAAAACGACCCCATGGAAACAAGGAAAATGTATGTGAACAGGCTGTTCACAGAAATACACATGCAAATGACCAAGAAACGCACACAAAATACTCAACCTTCCTCAACTGGGAGATGCAACTAAAATGAGATGTTTTATATGCTCAGAATGAAAAATAAGAAATAAAAACTGCTCAGGTGTGGTGGCTCACGCTTGTCACCCCAGCACTTTGGGAGGCTGAGGCAGGAGGATTGCTTGAGCTCAGGAGTTTGAGATCAGCCTGGGAAACATAGCAAAAGCAGTTCTCTACAAAAAAATAGAAAAATTAGGAGGGCATGGTGGCGCACACCTGGAGTCCCAGCTACTTGGGAGGCTGAGGTGGGAGGATCACTTGAGCCCAGGAGGTCATGGCTGCAGTGAGCCACGATTGCACCACTGCACTCAAGCCTGGGGGACAGAGTGAGGTGCCGTCTCGAGTGGAAACAAATAAGAACTGGTGTTGGTGTGGGAATAAAACAAAGACTCACACAGTGTGGAGGGATGTCAATACTTTTGACTTTTTATAAAGTAACCCAGGTATAGTTTTAGGTTAAAATGTAAGACGCACAGACCCTTGCCCCAGTAAGTCTATTGGTGGGATTTTCTCCAGGAAACCTGCATGTGGTGCACGGCAGGGTCTCTGCACTGGTTTGGGAGGAGACATTGGTTAACAACTTCAAGTTAACAGTGGCTAACAACTGGAGGTCAGAGGTCGCCCCAGAAGCATTGGATCCGGGGAGGGAGAAAGCAGACCATTAATTTTCTGTGTTGTAAGAACAAACAACTTTATAGCTCTCGCAACTGAATTTTTAAATGACCAAGACCATGATTTCAAAGTAAAGCCTCTCAAGTCTCTGTGCTGTGGCAGGTAGGGTCCTAGATGTAGGGAACAGGAACACGGGGCACGGTTAACTTTGAGTCTCAGATGAACAGCACGGTTTTGCTTCGGTGTTTAGTGTAAGCAGGTCTCATGCGATAGGCGATGTGTGGCACATACCTGTACAAAAAACCTCCGTCTTTCTTCTGAAATCCGAATTTCACTGCATGGCCTGTGTCTTGTCTGACAACCCGAGGGACAAAGGGAGGAAAAGGAGGAAAGCTTCACCAACCTCTGCCATTTTAATGGATCCACCTCCTCTCCTTCCTCATGAAAACCTGCTGTGTCCAGGGTGATGCCTCCTCCTCCCGATAATCACACGTACACACACACACTCACAGGTGTCGACCACTTATCACCCTCCAAGAACATTCTGACTCTGCCCCAGCATTTCTATGGACGCCGACGTTCAGCGTGGCTCAGACCTGAGAGCCAGGATGTCGCTTCAAACTCATCCTGCTGAGACCTGAGCCTCTGAAGCAGGGTCCGGGGCTTTCCAGCGCTGTGTCCCAGCCTGGTGGTGCCCAGCACAGGGAAGGGAGCTGGCAAATGCAGGGAGACAAATGAACAGTGTGGGCCCTGGCGCACGGCAGTGGGGCTGGCACCCACTTCCTCAAGACACAAGGCATCCGGGCCCCAGTCCCAGGCTCCTCCTCAGCATGTCAGGCAGGACTGCCCCACATCTACCCCAAAGCTGGCATCCTGGGGGGTCTGCCCACTGCCAGGTGCTCCTTCTGTCCTCTCCTCCCACGCAATGCACACTCCCCCGTACAGAGGGGCCCAGGCCACTGCTTCCAAAGGGAGGCTCCATGTCACGCGTGTACTGCCATAGTACATGGACGTGGGCTGCATTTGGGCCTGGAGGTTGTGGATTGCTCGACCTTCTGGAGCTTCAGTGCTCCCATCTGTAAAAGCAGAGGTCAAAGAAACATTCTTGAACAGGTTTCTAAGCATTTCCGAGAGTTTAGGGTCGGTGGCATCCTCAGCTGAACAATCCAGTTAGTGCCAGCTGGAGTCGACTTCCGAGCGTCCCAGCTGGACACCCAGGACCACGAGTGGCAGGAAAGTTCCCTCTCACCCCTCTCCTTGAGGCCTGGGTGGCTCTGCAGGCCCCGGTATCCTCCGAGGAACTGCAGCTTAACCCGAGTGCTTGCTGAGCCGCAGCAGCCACAGACGAGACATTAGTGTTACAACCCACACTGATCTTTGTCAATTACGCTCCAGTATTTGAGCTCTAACCAGCTTTAAATTGAATCAGGACAAAATCATCAGAATAAAAAGAGCCCAAGCCACAGCCTTTCAATTCCAGCACTGGAAAAAAAAAGTTATACATTTCATAATGGCCTTCTACCCCATAATGAACAGGAAAAATAAATTAGATTCCAAGCTAAGGGTATATTTATGCAATTTCATTATGTGCCCATGAGCAAGCCTGGTTTTCACCAAGATAAAAATGAGCTCTCAGAAACACTCACACTAAATAAATGGAGTGATTTAACAGCTTAACGGGGAGCGTGGAAGAGGAACTGAAGGACAATGTCAAAAACGAGAAAATAAAAATAAGAGAAGCTTACAATGTACCACCCTACTCGGTATACAAAGTGCCCATGGTGCCTGGAGCCTGTGGCCCGCAGCGGGTCCGCCTGTCCCTTGGGAGGAAGCAGCTCTGTCCTTAGCACTCCAGGGACCTAAAGCCAAGAACAGCGGAAGGGACACAGCTTCTCCCCTTGACACACAAGCCCACGTGATGGTGACGGGAAAGCCGCCGCGGCTCTCTCTGTACCCCAGTCAGTTACGCTGTTGCCATCAGACCCCTAGGCCTCAAGATAGTTCTTCAGGCCCACCCAGCTCCTGGCAAGACACCGCCACCCTGGAGCAGGATTTAGTGGAAGGTCTGGCTTTGTCTCAGCCCTTTCTGTTCTGATCAGTTACCTTTCTTCATCTCCCCAGCAGGGTCCCTCTCCGTTCTCTCTTTTGCTTGTCGCAGGGCCCTCACGTTGGATGGCACCAGTTTTGAGAGCAGAGTGACACCTCCTGCCAATGTCACCAGGTGGGCCACGGAGCACGGAGCTCCTCCAGGATCCCCACAAGGGGCTGCTGGGGCCTTCCTGTAAGTGTTTCTTTTCACAGAACGAAAGCACGTCCTCTGCTGCCCTGAAACTCCAGGAGAACGCCAACTTTTTTTCCATGTATTGTTTATCGTGCAGCGCTCCGAGACCTTCATGTGAGAGGTGTTTTATAAGTTCAGGTTGTTGTGAAGGTTGACAAAATAATAGATTCCTTTTTATTTTTTTCAATGGATATTTACAAAGCTGGAAATTGTTTCCTGAAAACGCTAGCAGTATCTAACTGGGGCAGACACAAATTCAGACAGCTCAGGGGTCTCTCCCGAAGGGCAGAGCAGCTTCACCCTTCCTAGCTGCCCTTCGCAGACTCACAGGGGTGCCCCAATGCTGTTAGCAAGTGCCAAGGAGAAGGGAATGAAATTGTGCAGGAAGCTGGGTTTGGACCAGTCTGTCTGACAGAAATAGCATGCCAGTCCCACGGGCAATTTTAAGTTTTCTAGGCTGGGCGTGGTGGCTCACACCTGCAATCTCAGCACTTTGGGAGGCTGAGGCAGGTGGATCACCTGAGGTCAGCAGTTCAAGACCAGCCTGGCCAACGTGGTGAAACCCCGTCTCTACTAAAAACACAAAACTTAGCTGGCGTGGTGGTGGGTGCCTATAATTCCAGCTACTCCAGAGGCTGAGGCAGGAGAACTGCTTGAACCCAGGAGGCGGAGGTTGCATTGCAGTGAGCCGAGATCACGCCAGTGCACTCCAGCCTAAGCAACAGAGGGAGAGACCCCGTCTCGAAATCTAAGGGTTTTTTTCACAAAACAAGTAAAATTAATTGTAATCACATATTTAACCCAATATATTCCAAATATTTTGGGTCAATATGTAAAATCTGTATAAGCGTTACTGGTCCTGCGTTTCACATGCTTTGTGTGTGTTCTGGGTCTTGGAGTTGGTCTGCGTTTTTCACTCTGCACATGTCAGTTCCCCAGCTCTCTCCTGTGGCCGGCAGCTGCCATCCGGGTCCAGGCAGGCACAGACCCCTGTGCGTCACAGCTGCCTCCCTCAGAACCACAACCCCAAGCCTAAAAGACAACCATTCGGACACATGTAACCCAGCATCCGGCAGCTAAGCCGTAAAGGAGAATACATCCAATGCTCAGAACCATATCTCTGCAACCTTGGTAATGAGTGATTTTCCAAAACCACCAGGAGACCAGCATGAAATCACCTCCGCCACGGCTTCCTGAGCATCTTCTCTGTGCCAGGACCACAGGACAGTACAGGTGCGGGTTTGCTGCATCTGCAAGGCTCTGTGAGCCCAATGCTGCCTTCACTGTGACTCCCTGATAAGCAAAAGCTCAGATAAGCCGCCCAAAATTGCATCACAGTGGCCCCCAGCGAAAGGCTACCTGAAACCTCAGCATTCACCCCCCTCTGAGGGTAGATTTCCACCCCTGACAAGCAGGACCCCCTCGGAACCACACAGGTGCTCAACACCCTCCGTCTCTCGCGGGGTAGGCTTCAGCCACTCAGAACAGAGCAAAACCAAGCCCTTCTTGCCAACTTCACACTCCCTCCTTCACCAGCTCCTCCTTGATCAGGGCCTCCGAGGAAAAGGAATAAACAAACAAGCTGATAAATAAACACCAACCAAGGTAGATGAAATGCTCAGTGAAGATTAAGCATGCAGCGCATGTTCCAGCCCCACGGTCTCGGGTACAAAGCCCATTAACTCATTAGTGCAGATGGAGCTTGAATTCCACAGCACGGTGTGATTCTTGGCTACCGTCCAGCAGTAATTCAGAGCTACTGGTCAACAAGGAAAGACACAGCCAGGGTGGGCCGGGTGGGGCAAGGGTGGGATGCAGGGTTAGCCCCCTTCTCCCGAGCCAGGGTGCCCCCAAGCAGCCTGAGAGGGGGTAGTCAGAGGAACTCTAGCACCAAGCAAGGGAAACGTGCACCTCGGAGCAGAGGCTCTGAAACGCCCCTCACCCCATCCCTGGGCAGTGACAGCTCCTCCAGTGTGCTAAGGTGGAGGTAAGGCCCACAGACGGTCCTGCTCTAACCTCACAGTGACCCTAGGGGTCAGGCACTTCCATGTTGCCAGAGACTAAGCTGAGCCCAGAGGGCTGGTTGGTGTAGTACCTGGACCGACACTGGCCAGTCCCTATCTCACTATCACTTGCGTGGCATTTCATCTAGCCTCGTGGAAGAAACCTGGAGATCTATACAACGGAAAAGTACCAGAATCAGCCCCCAAGGAAGCTGTGAGCTCAGGCAGGCTGGCACATTGGGCCCTCGCCGTGGGCTGACTCTGTTCAGCGCGGTGATTGCTGGTGGAAGGAGGCATCGAGGAAATACAGAAAACGGGGGAGCTGTCTCCCCAGTCACTGGGGCACTGATTTGGAGAAGGAGGTGACAGAGAAGCAGAGAATGAAGAGGAGAAAAGAGAAAGAAGGCGCAGGAAGATCAGGAGCCCCCCTTGCAGCTTCGAGAAGTCTGCTCCTCCTGCCGGGGTGCCCCACCCTCCATGCCTCCCCTGCCAACCCTGACTCCTGCCATCCACCTGCCCTCGCCGCACCTGCCCCACCACAGCCACCAGGATCCCTGCAGATGCACCTGGCTGCCTTCCCAGGGCTCAGGGTGCAAGCCTGTGTCCTCAGACTCTGTCTAGTCCCCCGAGCCGCCTCCTTGAAGCTCTTACATAACTCGGGTCCTTCCTCACCTCCTGAGCAGTGACGCCCTCCCCCCACCTTCTAGACATGGGGGAGTAACATCTGCTCTCCTCTCTCCTCTCCAAGAGAACTCCTTTCCCAACACCCGCACCCCAAACTCAAACACCACCACCCTCCCCCAAAGCAGCAAGGGACAAAAAATAACATAAAATAAAAACATGCTACCACCGCCACCCACCACATCATTAAGGGGGGGGGGGGGGAAGAAAGAAAGAAAGAAAGTTCCTACAAATAAAACTCTTTCCTTCTTGTTCTAGAAAAACAATAATGAATCCTGGGGGGAAGGAGCACAGAAGGGGGCAGACAACGCTGCTCTACCTTTTCATCTCCACTGCTCAGAGCATCTTTGATTTGGCTTATTTTTAAAAAGAAAGAAGTCCATGTCGATCCTTGCACCTGCATCATGCTAAGAGCAGGGATCAGAATCCCACTCTGGGAAGGGTGTCCAGGGTCCCCATTCCCTGCCCTCTCCCTCATCCCTGCCAGAGGGGCACATCTACCCAGAAAGACAGAAGGGGCCAGAGTATTCGGGTTTTGGATCAAGAGGCCAATATTCGCCTGATGGGAGGCTCCCCAGCAACATGGAGAAGAAAAGAAAGCACAGCCTGGCTGAGGACACGGCCGCAGGGGCCCCTCCTGAGACCACCCCAGGCCTTCTGCCCTTGCCCCTGCCTGGCCTCTCACCACTTTGGCCACCTTGGCAACACTCAGTGTCCGGGGTCCCAGAGGGAGCAGGGGCCCCCCAGGCCTGACTTGGTGTCACCGGCTTCCCAGGTCACTTCCTTCCAGGCAGCCAGTTAGCTCAGTGTCTGCCTTCCCTCCAAGCACTTCCAAGAACACAAGAGGCAAGGCCTTAATTCCTTCCCCGGGGGATGCTGTCCGACCCACCACCTGTTATCCAATTCCGCCTCCCAGCTGACACTGCCATTCCCCTTACAGCATGTTCCCAGCTGCTCTGAGCCCTCGCCTCCCTGCTCCAGGTTCCCACAGCCACGAGGACGGCTCCAGACACACACACTCAGGCACACACATGCACACCCAGGTGCACCCATGCACACCCATCCCGCCAGCTCGCTCGGCTCACTCCATTTCTTTGGCGGTTCTCATGGGGCATGGAAGGTTCTTTGATCATTCCTATATGGCTAGTTAGAAAGACAGACTCTGTGTGTGTGTACATGTACATACGTGCCTGTATACTGCTGCACAAGCCATCATGCTTCGACTCGGATAAATCTCAAATGTGTGGCTACGTCTTGCAGATTTGCATAATGACCAATTTAAAGCAAATAATGTTCAATGGCTATAGGTGAATCCAGAGAGGTCAGAGCCACAGTCCGGCTTCCTGGAGTTTCTATCTCCCTGATCTACAGTCCGCTGCCACCGATGAATGACAACCATGCAGACCTGCCCAGGACCTCGGGGAGAGCCCGAACCGCAGGCCACTCTCGCCAACAGGGAGGATCCAGCTTGTCACTCCAGAAAGGAAGCACAGTTTACGGAGCACCGGCGGGTGTCTAGAGTCTCCCTTTTCAGCCACACAAACGGCCATCAGATGAACCTCACTGCCAAAGCCCTGCTGCTGAAATGCGGCTCTGGATAAACAGAGCCCTGTCTGCTCCAAGCCCTTGATTTCCAGTGCCCCAAAAAGCAAGACTCCCCTAAACAGGGATGATGGATGGCTTGTCTGTAGCCCCCCATACCCGCCCCCCTGGTGGCACTCCAGCAGCACCAGACGCAGCACAGGGCTTGGTTCCCCTGTGTCTGCTGGAGTTCCCAGCAGTATCTTCCTCAACCTTTTCTCTTTTTTTTTTGAAACAGAGTCTCCCTATGCTGCCCAGGCTGGAGTGCAGTGGTGTGATCTTGGTTCACTGCAACCTCCAACTCCCAGGTTCAAGTGATTCTCCTACCTTAGCCTTAGAGATTACAAGCATGCACCACCATGCCTGGTTAATTTGTGTATTTTTAGTAGCAACGGGCTTTTGCCTGTTTGAGACCAGACTGGCCTCAAACTCCTGACCTCAGATGATCCACCCACCTTGGCCTCCCAGAGTGCTGGGATTACAGGTGTGAGCCACCGCGCCTGGCCCCTTCCTCATTCTTGAGACCCGCTACTCAGCAGGGGTTCTGCCCAGGAACTGAAAGGGAAGGTGGGTGCTAGGCTTGACCCTCCTGTCCAGGGCTGGACAGGGAGCCTCCAGGCAGCAGGTGAGCAGTTACCTTGGGGCACCTGAGTCCACCCTGGGACTCAGAAATAAAAGTATCTTTCAAGCCACCCCCAACTGTTCACTTTTCTATTAAAAAATCCATTACTTGCGGGGAGGGACAAAGAGACCAAGAATAGGACCTTCAGGAGCTGAGTCCCCAGAGAAGCCCTCCTGTCCCTCTCTCCTCAGAATTGGAGCTGAGCGCAGTTGCCCAAGCACACACACACCCCAGCACACATGAGAACTGTGTGTGCTTCACTTTTGGGGAACGCCTACTGGGGAGAAGAGACCAGGGTACTCCATCCAGCGGCGGCCGTCCAACACCTATGGACACCAGCGGAGCAGGAGGGAAGACAGAGGGCTTTAGGGGGCAGCAGGTGGGGGCTGCACCACAGCCCCTCTCCCTGGACAAAGCCTGGGCTGGGTGTCTGGGCTGCACTCACACCCACGAACACGCACAGATCCCGGACCTCAGCTGACATCCCCGGCACCCCAGCGAAAGACTTGAAGCTCCAACCCTCCAGTTGACCTAGCAACCAGTGGGTTCATCTGATGGAGGCCCCACCAAGGGCTGGCGGTCCCCCAACCCCCTGGGAGGGACCGGCTTCTCTCCTTGCCCTATCCTGGGATACTCTGAACAAGTCTTTTCCTGTCTCCCCCGACTTCCTCAAATATTATGAAAACACCAAATTCCCTGCAGTTTCTACTCAGGGCTGGTGGCTTCTACCATGGGCTAAACCTCCCTTGCAGGAAGGGCAGGAGGTGGTGGTGGGCACAGCTCCCAGCACCCCCAGCTCCTGCTCAGCTCCCAGAGTCTACCCAGGAGGGCCCAGCCTGACACAGCAGTTTGTTTCAGAGGTCACCAGAGCACTGGAGTCTCTGGCCTGAGGCTGCCCTCTCTGGACAGGCCCCCACCTCACCCTTCCACGTGCTCCTGGAGCAGAAGGCCTGGCTTTCGTGACTCCCAAGTCTCAGAGGTCCAAGTCAGCATCCTGCCTATGGGAGGACAGCAGCTCCCTTCTTCTCCAAAGGGCCCGGCAGCCCCATGGCACGGCTGTTACCATCCCTCAAAGCCTGCAGGAACCGCCGCTGCACCCAGGATGCTGGTATGAACTAAGAGGCTGTCCCAGGAGCTCCAGGACAAATGCAGCTCTTCAGGCAGCGTCAGATGCTGGAGAAGGGCCAAGCGCAGTCCTCGGTTTCCCCAACTGTAAACTGGCGGACATTCCATCCTGTGCAGATGCTGCAGCCCACCGCCACTGCCATTGAGAACAGCCTGCTGCCATCTACATGGGATTTGTGTGTCTTCCGGAACGTGCTACATGGATTGCTGTATCCCCAGTGCCTGCTTCAGGACCTGGCACACCAGTACTCAAAAAATATCTGCAGAATGAATAAATGATGGCTACCTCATGGCATTTTATTTTATCCTCATGAAAAGCCTACAAGCTAGCGAGAGCCATCAGTCCCTCACTGGAGACCATGGTAACCATGGCTGTATCAAATCCACGTTGACCATAAGGGACTTTGCTGGCATAACCTCATGCCTTCCTCTTCTCCAGGCTGTGAGGTGGTGGAATCATGGTCACTGTTTTGTGGATGAAGAAACTGAAGCTCAGGACGGGCAGATGCACTGCCCAAGGTCCCTTGTCCCCAGGGCAGAGCAAACACCCATTATAACCAGGCCAGGCTTTGTCTGCCCTTCCAGGAAGGCTAAGGAAAGCCTGGCCAGTACGTGACAGCTGCACAGCCTCAGGATTTTCATGAGTCTCTCTGGGTTCTGCCAGGCACAAGCTGGCCTTACTTTAAAGTCCTAAGGGAGGTTGATGGGCTTAGCCCGCAGGTAGGAGCTACAGTAGAGAAGCTCTGCTCCCTGGCTGATCCCAGCTCACTCCTCCAGGGCTGGTCCAGCACAGTCCCAGGTATGAGTTCATGGCCTCCCTTTTTCCACTGGAGACAGGGAGAGGGATGTGGCTCCAGAGTAATTAGAGTCAACTGTGGCTTTGAGGCAGCAAAGCTCAGGTTTCTGCAGAGACCCGAGAGCAAGTGAATCTGATACCAGGGTTACAGAACCAAACACATCTTTAAGGATCAGTGATTTGTGTCTGTGTCAAAATGGGGTGGTGATTCCAGCCTCCCACCCAAAGGGGGGCTCTGGGGACACCCAGGATGATGGGGACTCTCAGTGGGGCAGGCCTGAGGCCTTCCTGTGGGCACTGGGGGAGGAGCCCCAAAGAGGGAGACAAACGGAGGCATGGCAGGTGCTGCTCCCCACAGCGAGCCTCATGCCCTATCCCTCTGACCACCACCATCGGGCCAAATATCACAATGGAGAGGGCACAGCAGCTGTGGCCCAGGCCTCGGCCTGGTCAGATCAGGGAACGTGAATCGTCATAAAACGTGAGAAAACTCCGGGCTTTACAGACATGATGGATGAAGCCACTTCACTAAAAACCTTCATGATCTGGGAAGACCACACACACCAAAGAAACCGGTGGGCAGCTGCCCTGCAGGGCAGGACATGGGCATGCTGACCACCATGCCAGGCACCGCCCAGAGCCCTCATGCATCCCCGCGTCAGTTGCTCCCTGTTGGGACCATCTTCCTTTATTTTCTGAGGTCTGGGAAACCATCCCTGGCCAGGGCCCCTTAGGGCCATGAACATGAACAAGAATAGGAGCACCCAGGCAGGAACACAGAAGCTTGGGGATAAAGAGCACTGGAGCCCAGGGAAACAAGAAGGCCAGAGGGTATCCCAGCTCCTAGGAGTATCACCCTAAAAGCTTATGGAGCTTTTGTGTGTGAAGGGCAGCACCATGAAGCCAGACCTCTTCCATGGAAGCCAGCTTATTAACTAGCTCAGGCAGGAGGAGTCACAGACTTGAGAGATTACGGTGCAAGGAAGGCTAAACTGATACAGTAAAGGGGGTCCAGACATCAGGGAGAAAGTCCAGATGCATGTCCTCAAGCTCATAGTAAGGAAGTGCATCACACACACACACACACACACACACATGCACAAACACACATGCCTAGTACCCAAGCCTGGGATAGAGGACAAGCAGACCATTCTATACTTTTTATTTAATAAGTATTTATCAAAGTACCGCTGCATGCTATCATCATTTACAGAATGACAAAATGGCTAGATGAAGAGATGGATGAGTGGATGGATTATGAGTAGACATATGGGTGGGCAGATGGGTGAATAGATAGTGGATGAAAAGACAGATGGATGGGTAGGCAGGTGGATGGGTAGATGGGTAGATGGATGAGTGGATAAATGGATAGAAGAATGGATAAATGGATGGGTGGATGTGTAGATGGATGGGTGGGTGGGTGGATGGATGGACAGAGAGCAGGATGATGCTCTGTTGAGATAAATGGAAACAAATGGACAGAAATAATTTGACTTTGCAATAAAAAATTTCTCAAAATCTAGGATGTGGTATATTCTACATCAGCGCCATCCAATAGAACTTTCTGTGAGGACAAGAATGCTCTCTACCTGCACTATCCAATATGGTAGCCACTAGCCCCATGTGGCTGTTGAACACTTGAAATGTGGCTAGTAATCTGAACAAATGACACTTTAATTTTATTTAAATAGTCACATGTCACCAGTAGTTGCCGTATTGGACAGAACAGTTCTAGAGTTTTTCAACACACCTTGCTGCTACTTCCTGGGAGGCCCTTCAGAGTCCAGGCTGTGCAAGGGCAGTTGGAAGAGATGACTCTATGAGAAGCTGATATCAACATGAGCAGGGCGATTCCCCTCTCTCCCAGCCCCTGATTTCTGCTGAACAAGAAGGGAACTTGCAAAACCTGGGGATAGGAAAATGCTTTTCAACTTTAACATGTAATATAATTTGGATATTTGTTCCTTCAAAATCTCATGTTGAAATGCAGTCGCCAATGTTGGAGGTGGTGTCTGGTGGGGATAAGTAGATGAATGGGTGGATAGATGGGTGGGTGGGTGGGGTGGATGGATGCCTGGTTGAGTAGATGAATGGAAAGGTGGGTAGATGGATGGGTGGGTGGGTGGATGGGAAGACGGATAAATGGGTAGGCGGATCCCTCATGAATGTCTTGGTGCCAACCTCCATTTGGGTCATGGGGGTGGATCCCTCATGAAAGGCTTGCTGCCAGCCTCCTGGTAAAGATTGAGTTCTTGCTCATGAGTTCACATGAGATATGGCTGTTTAAAAGAGCCTGGAACTTCCTCCTCAGGGTCTTGCTTCCTCTCACCAGGTGACACTCTGGCTCCCCTTCACCTTCTGCTGTGATTGTAGGCTTCTTGCTCCCCTTACCAGAAACAGACGCCAGCACTATGCTTCATGTACAGTCTGCAGAACCGTGAGCCAAATAAACCTCTTTTCCTTGTAAATTACTCAGCTTCAGGTATTCCTTCATAGCTATGCAAATGGACTAATACAAAGGACCCAAAAATTTTGTTTAAAATGCAGATCCTCAAATTCAGTAGGCGTAGGGTGGGATTCAAACATGGGTATTTCTAAGAAGCTCTTACATGATGCTGATGTTGGTCCAAAGACCACATTTTGAATAGTAAGAGTTTTGGAGGCTTTCCATTCCAGAAAAACAAGGTTTTATGGGGTAGCAGAAAGGAAAGACCCTGGAAGACCAAGAATAAGTACAGAGAATCTGGCATATTAAAAGAAAAGTTCAAATCTTTAAAATTTGATAATTCAAACAAATTAATGTATTGGAATCTTTCTATAGGCCTGTATGCCATGGAGAATGCAAGGAGCTTCTGAGCTAACTCAGGATGCAAAATAAACACGTGGAAAGTTAAACAATAAATGACTTAAAGCAACGGCTGAAACAGCACACGTCAGGAGAACCTCTCATGACCCCTGCTCTTCACGCTGCAACCTCAGCCGGGCTCCTCTCCCCACAGCATACTTTGCCATAAGAATTATCATTATCTAAGTTATAGTACAATTTTCTTATTTATTTTTCCCCCCCAGACTGCAAGCTCCAGAAGGGCAGGAATTTCTATCTGTTTAGCTCACTGCTGTATCACCAGTGCCTGAACAGGGCCTGGTGTATGGAAAGCATTCAAGTCAGCAAATATTTCTTGAATTGCAATGAATCCATTGTAATTCAAGAAATATTTGCTGACTTTAAGTCTTGGCTCCATTTAGAGTTTATGGAGGTGTAAAAATGCTCTTCAGGAGTGTTGTAAGTTTTCTACACATGCATTTTGCACATTTCTTGTTAAGTTTATTCCTAGATATTTAATTTTTGTTGTTATCATAAATAGGGGCCTTTTCTCCCATTGTATTATTATTGAAAGACAGACACACATATACATATGGACATGCATACATGCATACATAGGATTATCTTGTTGGCTGTAGTAGTATTTCACGGATTCTCTAGGATTTTCCAAGTATACAATTACATCATCTTAAAAAGGGTAATACTTTTAGCCCCTCCTTTCCAATATTTATTCTTCTCATTTCTTGTCTGATTGCATTGGCTAATGCTTCTGCTACCATATGAAATAGTAGTAGCAAGAGTAGGCATCCTTGCTTTTTTCTTAACTTCAGTGTTTCCACATTCAGAAAAAAATGGGTTTTGAGTATGATTGCAGTCATGTTGAGAATGAATCAATTTCTGTTTTGCTGAGTGTTTATCAAGAATGAATGCTGAATTTTATTACATGCTTTTTCAGTATTAAAAAGATGATAATGTAATAATTCTCTTTATATTTATTAATATCATGCATTATATAAATAGATTTCTTCATATTAAACTATTCTTGCATTGCTAGAATAAACTGCAAGTAGACACAGGGTATTATTAAGATGGTGCTCGGATCCTATTTGCTAATCTGTTAAATTTTTGCATTGATATTTATAAGTGTGACTGGTCTATAGTTTTATTTTTGTACAATATTTGTCAGATTAAGAAAAACATCTTTATTCTCACTTTAGGAAAATTGCTTAGACTTTTTCTTCTTTATCTCTGCTGTGGAATACTTTGATTGGCATTGGAAGTACCTGCTCTTTAAAAGGTTTTGTTTAAATTCCCCCGTGGGACCGCCCAGACCACACGCTCTCTGTGGGAGTAGCTTAAACATTTTCTATTTTCCATAGAAATTGGTCAGTTTGGTAAATTATATTTCTCCCTTGTTATTTCTCATCATGTGTTATATGTTCCTCGGGCTTTCTCGACTACCTTTTGTGAGACGGAGTCTCTCTCTGTTGCCCAGGCTGGAGTGCAGTGGTGCGTCTCTGCTCACTGCAACCTCTGCCTCCCAGGTTCAAGCAGTTCTCCTGCCTCAGTCTCCCCGAGTGCTGGGATTACAGGCACACACCACCACACCGGCTAATTTTTGTATTTTTAGTAGAGATGGAATTTCACCATGTTGACCAGGCTGGTCTCAAACTCCCGACCTCAGGTGATCCACCTGCCTCAGCCTCCCAAAGTGCTAGGATTACAGGCATGAGCCACTGTGCCAGGCCACTTTCTTGATTTCTAACCTTGACTATATTTGCTAGAGGTTCATCCAACTTTTTTCAGAAAACAGCTTTTATTTACAGGTCCCACATTCTATTTCGTGGCCCATTCATTATTCTATTAGTTTGTTAATGGCTTCCTCCTACTTTTCTTCAGTGTATTATTTTTTGTCCTTTTTTTTTTAACTTTTTTGAATCATAAGCCTAACTCGGTTACTTTTGTTCTTTCATTTTTATTGGCTGTGATTTAAGGCTGTGAACCCTCTCCGTCCACACTGATGGTCACCCCTCACCCAGCCCCACTGGCCCTTTCTTCATGCGTGCTTCATGCCCTGTTATGAGTCTGACTTCCTTGTGCTGTGCTGTTTACACTTATGGCTTCCCCAGCAGACTGGGCTCCTGGGAGGTGGGGACCACATCCTGCTCAGCTCTGGATGTCCAGACAGCACCTAACACGGGGTCTCAGACATGGAAGGTTTTCAATACTCGTTTGTGGAAAACATTACAGAGTGGATAATAATTTTGATGTAATATACAATCGTTATAATTCTAAAACTAATATTTAAGACTTAATTCTACACCAGGCACTATGTTAGGTTCTGATTAGCATAATTTTTTTAATCCTCAGACACCCCCATGAGGCAGGTTTTCCTCTCTCTCTTTTATGGTGTAGGAAACCCAGGCTTAGAGAAGTAAGGACATCTCCAAATCACAGAGCAACAATGGACAGAACTCAGCCTCATAAAATGTGCAGTCACAAAAGCAAAGGAAACCAGCCTGAGGGGAATAAAGACGGCCGACAAGGCACAGCAGTCAGAGTGCAGGCTTGGGTGTCAGACAGACTGGCGTTGCAGTCAGATCTGCCAACACTAGCTGTGGAACCCAAGGCAAATAATTTATCTGTGCTTCAGATGTTTCACCCCTGAAATCGGGAGAAGGGTATCTATATCCCCAAAAGACAGTTGTAAAAACCACATGGGGTAATAGATACCACACACCTGACACGGCCCATGGCAAGCACTCAGGAAGTGGTGGTAGTGATGATGGTGGTGATGGCCGTGGTGATGATGATGATAGTGATAGTGGTGGTGATGATGGTGGTGGTGGTGGGAATGGTGATTATATCAGTGATAGGGTGCTGGTGGTGATGGTGATGGTGATGGTGATGGTGATGGTGATGATAGGGATGATGGTGGTGATGGCCATGGTGGTAGTGGTGGTGATGATGGTGGTGGTGGTAGTAGTGACGGTGATGATAGTGATAGTGGTGATGATGATAGTGATAATGGTGGTGGTGGTGGTAATGGTGATTATGTCAGGGATAGTCATGGTGCTGGTGGTGACGGTGACAGTGATGATGGTGGTGGTGGCAGTGGTAGTAGTGGTGGTGATGATAGTGATGGTGGTGATGATAGTGATAATGGTGGTAATGGTGGCAATGGTGGTGACGGTGACAGTGATGATGGTGGTGGTGGTAGTGGTGGTAGTGGTGGTGATGATGGTGGCGGTGGTGGGAATGGTGATTATATCAGTGATAGGGTGCTGGTGGTGATGGTGATGATAGGGATGATCATGGTGATGGCCGTGGTGGTAGTGGTGGTGGTGATGGTGGTGGTGGTAGTAGTGACGGTGATGATAGTGATAGTGGTGATGATAGTGATGGTGGTGATGATAGTGATAATGGTGGTAATGGTGGCAATGGTGGTGATGATGGCAGTGATGATGTTGGTAGTGGTGGTGGTGATGACTACGGTAATGGTGATAGTGACAGTGATGGTGATGGTGATTATCGTAATGGTGGTGGTGGTGGTGATGATAGTGATGGTGGTGATGATGATGGTGATAATGGTGGTGCTGGTAATGGTGATTATCATAATGATGGTGGTGATGATAGTGATGGTGGTGATGATGGTGATAATGGTGGTGCTGGTAATGGTGATTATAGTAATGATGGTGGTGGTGGTAGTATGGTGGTGGTGGTGGTGGTGGCGATAGTGATGGTGGTAATAGTGATGTGGTGGTGGTGGTAATGGTGATTATATCAGTGATAGTCACGGTGGTGGTGGTGATGGTGGTGATGATAGTGATGGTGGTGGTGGTGGTAATGGTGATTGTATCAGTGATAGTCATGGTGGTGGTGGTGATGGTGGTGATGATAGTGATGTGGTGGTGGTGGTAATGGTGATTGTATCAGTGATAGTCACGGTGGTGGTGGTGATGGTGACAGTGATGATGGTGATGAAGGTGGTGATGGTAATGGTGGAGATGGTGGTGGTAAAAGGCAGTGGCAGCAGCAAGGTTTTGGCAACAATTACAACAATTACATCATCCTGGAATTCCAACTACACCAATGTCACTAAACCCAATACCATACAGTGAAGACAGGCCCCATTGGACAGATGAATCAATGCCCACAGAGCAGAAGAAATGGAAGATTCTAGAATGTCAGCATGGGAAAGCACACTCACAATCATCCAGATGCAATCCCACTACTTTACAGATGGGGAAGCAAAGACCAGGGTTGGGAGAGCAGTGTGCCCAAGGTCTCACATCAGCTACCAGCCAGGCCTAGAGTAGATGCAGTTCTCCAACCCAAGCTGGTCTCCACTCCTCCCTGCTGACCCCTCAGACACCAGTGAGCACTCACTCAGTAGCACTGGCTTAGGTCCTGGAAACCAGAAGAAATAAACACAGGAGGGGACATCAGGACATAGGGCAAAACAGACAGCAATTCTATTTGGTGGAGGGAGGAGGAGGAGTGCCCTGTGTGGCTTCATAAAGCATCTGAAGGGCCAAGGAGGGGATAGACAGTGCGCTGGAAATGAGGTTGATGGAGGTAACTCTGCCCAGGCCATCCACAGGAAGGTTTACAGGAGGCTGCAGGGCAGCAAGTGTTGATTTTAGCACAAATGAGCAACAGAAGGAGGAGCTGTAACCACATCTAGAGCGGGTGGGGAGAGAAAATCAAGTATACAAATTAGGCCTATTTGAAATTAACGGCTACCTAAAAGACTCATACTAATTTAATAATTTTGTCAGTAATGAAAAAATATGAAATAGGAAGAAAAGATGGGCAAAATATTTACTGGCAAAAGGCAAAATAAGAAAATATCTGAGAAGGCAGCACATCCATCAACGTCTTCAGATGGCAAAATTCCTAGGAAGGGGGGACTTTCTGCAGGCACACAGTCAGCCAAAGGGGAGCGCAGGGAAGAGGACAGGACCAAGGACTCCTCACTGGCAGGTGTTGCTGCTGCCCAGGGGCTCACCCCGTGTCCAGCTGGCGCACAGGGCTTTACACGTCCATCTCCATCATCCCCAAAGAACTCTACTGAGAAACTGTGAAGGCCAGGCATGGTGGCTCACACCTGTAATTCCAGCACTTTGGGAGGCCGAGGCTGGTAGATCACTTGAGGTCAGGAGTTCAAGACCAGCCTGGGCAACATGGTGAAACCCTATCTTAAAATATAAAAATTAGCCAGGCATCCTGTAATCGCAGCCACTCAAGAGGCTGAAGCAGGAGAATCGCTTGAACACAGGAGGCAGAGGTTACAATGAGCCGAGATTGCACCATTGCACTCCAGCCTGGGTGACAGAGTGAGACTCTCTCTCAAACAGAAAGAGAGAGAGAGAGAGAGAGAGAGAGAGAAGTTGCCCAGAGAATGAGCAGGTAGGCTGGAATTCCAGCCCAGGCAGTGTGGCCCCAGGCCCTGGACTCTCAGTCTCTATCCATTCCGCTCCCCCTGCCCACCCACCCAGCAATGGAGAAACCAACACAGGCCGCCCTTCAAACCCCGAGAAGACCCAAGGTCTGCACCCCGAGAAGACCCTAGGGTGCAGGTCTGCACACAGCCAAGCCCCCATCCCACAGCTGCAGCCTCTGAGATCACAGAACATTCCTGAAGAGACCACATCTGAGGGTCTGTGGGAGCCCGGGGTGGGGGTAGCAGTGAGGGGAAGAGGAGCAAGGGTCAAGTGACGGCCACGGACCACCAGCTCATTTTCATAGGTGCCACCAAATTAGTGGCTGTTGGTGAGGCCAAAAGAACGCGTCTGAAGAAATGTTCTGTGCGAAATTGGACTAGATTGGCTCCAGTATACACACAGGCACAGGCAGAGTGAGGCTGGACAGCATAAACAAAGGCTAACGGCAGATGTCAGTGTACCGGGCAGGCGGGGGCATCTCATGGGAGGCCTCCCGGGCCACTGCAAAGCCCCAATTTTGTTTAATATCCAAGCTAATGATCTGGAAGACAGCAGATAGGTCATAAGCAAAACCTGCTGAGGACGTGGTGGGGGGCGGCACTGTAGCTGTTTGCTGGGGTGGGGGATGGCTGGGAGACAGAGGAGACCTGGAGGGAAGATAAGTAGCTCCCAAGTACATTGAGATTCAGCTTGAAGAAAAATTACAAGCACTCAAATCTAAGAAGAGGAAAAAACAGCCTGAAACCGCTATTTGCTGAGAGGAGGAAACCCAGGAAACAGGGAACGGCCCAGACCATCACAGGGGCCCACTGGGGACTGGCTTATGACGTCACATGGGGAGGGCACAGACCATCACAGGGACCCACCTGGGGACTGGCTTGTGACATCAAGGAAGGGCATGGACCATCACAGGGTCCCCTGGGGACCAGCTTGTGACATCAGGGAGAGGGCACAGACCATCACAGGGGCCCACCAGAGACCAGCTTGTGACATCAGGGAAGGGCATGGACCATCACAGGGGCCCACTGGGAACTGGCTTATGACGTCACACGGGGAGGGCATAGACCATCACAGGGGCCCACTGGGGACTGGCTTATGACGTCACATGGGGAGGGCATAGACCATCACAGGGGCCCACCTGGGGACTGGCTTATGACGTCACATGGGGAGGGCACAGACCATCACAGGGACCCACCTGGGGACTGGCTTGTGACATCAGGGAAGGGCATGGACCATCACAGGGGCCCCTGGAGACCAGCTTGTGACATCAGGGAGAGGGCACAGACCATCACAGGGGCCCACCAGAGACCAGCTTGTGACATCAGGGAAGGGCATGGACCATCACAGGAGCCCACCAGAGATCAGCTTGTGATATCACATGGGGAGGGCACAGACCATCACAGGGGCCCACCGGGGACCGACTTGTGACATCACATGGGGAGAGTGGTTTGTGTTTTGTTCACTGTTTGGGGAAAGACATCCCCTCAGAGGAGCTGAGAGCACCACGTGTCCCAGCACAGGGGTCTACCTGGTGGCCTCCTTGCTCTGAGGGTTCTGGGCACAGAGGCAGGAAGGAAAATTGGAGTTCAGAAAAACATTTGCTAAATGGAGGGAGTGGGAGCCAGGATCCCCTGCCCCATGTGCTCGAGAACCAACCCAGTGCCTATGACTGGCACAGAGCAGGAAACCGTCCAGAGGGTCCAGGCACAGAGACCAGCTGGGGGCAGTTAAGGGGCAGGGCTGAGGGCCCCAGGGTGCAGGTGGATGGGAGGATCTTCTAAAGCAGAAACACCAAGGTCCACACTTCCCAGCTGCCCGGGAGGGAGGTGAGACCACAATCAGGACTGGCCCCTCCAAGGTGGCGCCAGGCCCCCAAACACTTCCCTCCTAGCCAGGCTTCCTGCGCTCCCTGCTTGAGAGGAAACTAAAATTGTCGGCCTGGACACATTTGGAAATTTACTGGAGCATCCTTCCCCTGCCTTGTGGGGATTGGGTTAGTCAACCTGTTAACCACATATTCTCACCACCCACAGGGCGCGGAGGCTGCGTGGGCCTGCAGGGAGCAGGAGGGAGAGAAGACAGAGAGAGCCGAGGCCGGCCGCACAAGAAGGACATTGACAAAGGGCCGGAGTCTGCCCAGGGACGCAGGGCCGGCACGGAGGGCCTGGAGGGGCCGCTTGCTCAGGAGCAGGACCATTGTGGCCCAGAGGCTGTGCTAGTTCCACATGGGCAGGTGCCCTCACATGGTGAGCTTTTACTAGGTGTTGCCCGTGCCAGCTGCTCAGCTGAGGGGCAGCAGCTGGACTCCTGAGCATCCTCACCAGGATACTCTGGGAGCACTAGCCAGGCTGTCTCAGGCCTGGGAGCCCCAGCCTCACACGCACAGCAGCGCCGATGACCTCACCCTCTGCCACATCAGTTGCTCTCCCTGGACTAGAGCTCCCTGAGGATGGGGGAGGGGGGGTCTTTTTTTTTTTTTTTTACCATGGTTATCTTACTGGTGCCTAAAATTATACCTAGCAGGCATTAAGTGCTTACTATTTATTTATAGAATGGACAGATGTATAGATGGCAAATGGTGGGTGGCTGGTGGCTGGTGGGTAATAAATGGTAGATGGGTGGATGAGTGAGTGGTAGATGGGGTGGATGGTGGATAGTGAATGGGTAGATGGGTGGGTGGGATGGGTGACTGGATGGATGGGTGGATGAGCAAATGGGTGGCTGGTGGGTGGTGGGTGGTAGATGGGTGGATGGCAGGTGGGTAGGTGGATGGTGACTGAGGATAGCGCATAGTAGATGGGTGAGTGTTGGATAGTGGATGGTAGATAGTAGGTGGTGAATAGATGGATGTTTGGATAGATGAAGGCGGGGTGGATGGCGGGTGGTGATGGATGAATGGGTAGCTGGATAGGTGGATGGGTGTGGATGGATGGGTGGGTGGGTGGGTGGGTGGTGGATGACTGGGTGAATGAATGGATAGATGGGTAGATGGTGAATAGTGGATAGATGGATGGGTGGATGAATGGATGGATGGGTGGATGAATAGTGGACGGGTGGATGAATGAATGAGCGGGTGAATGAATCGTTGGGCGGGTAGATGCATAGGTAGGTGGGTGGATGGATGAATAGATGGTTGGGTGAATGCTGGGTGGATGGATCTTGTGACACCCCTGCTGCATCTTCAGCAACTTCTAGAAAATCAGGTCCAACGTAACAGCCTCCCTCACCCACCATCAATCCTCATCCCAGCCCCAAAAGACTGAATGTAGAAGTGACTGGGCTGAAACGGTTGCTGGACGGTCACTGAGCCACAGCAAAGCACAGGGAGAGGCCGAGGGGGACCCCAAAAGCCTAACAATGCCCAGCTCTCGCCTCCACAGAGACACGTTGCAAACTGACTGCAGAGCAGTGAACTCGCATGCGTATCCACACTTCATTCTCCATCCCACTGCTGGCGGAAGGTGTAAGAGGGCAGCCTCTTTACTTCTCCCTGACTGGAGCCCAGGACCAGCCAGAACAGGTACTCAAGAAACAACAACTTCATCTTTATGTTTACTGGGACAGCAGGCACCTAATGGGCAGCTACTGCCCACCCAGCCATGCTGTGTCCAGGAACATCGAGAAATGGGCACTCCAGGAACCACGAGGTTCAGTGGCTCATGTCCCAGCTCCAACTCTCCAGATCTAAGACTGCCGGCCAGCACTGTCACGGCAACCTCACCTCACCACAGCCAGAGCACTGCTGGCAGCAAGCCGTTCCGTTGCCTTCATCCACAGATGCCCCACCCACTTCCCCGCCCATGACAGCATGGCCAGGCCGACAGCCACGGCATGGCCAGCCCGAGAGCCACAGCTGCAGGTGCATGCTGAGCCTCCGCCTGGCCCTGGGTGAGTGCGTCCTCTCCTTTTCTCAGCTGCCGCGTGGGGTAGGAAGGATACTTGATCCCATGTCACAGTTGGGGAAACTGAATATGGGGATTAAATAACTTCTCCAAGGTCACATGTGTAATAAGAAGTGAGGCCAGCATTCAGGCCCCAGCCAACTCTATAGGCCAGGCTCCCCCTGCCGCCACCCAACCAAACACAGCTAGGGGCTCTTGGCCTCTCCGCATATCAGCTCCACCCTCAAAGGGGGAATGTGTCCACAATTCAAACCAATAGACCTCGCATCACAGTAATCCTCTTCCAAAAGAGGAGTCCCCAAATCTTCAGAGATTTGAAACAGATGCTTAGAACCCACAAAGGTGACTACTTTGAAAAGGGTCCTTTTGCCATTTAAAGAAATCACTTCCCTGTATCTCCCTGAGGGCTTTAGTTCACCCCAGTGCTCCCAGGGTTCAAAGGGAGGGTCAGGGATGCCAACAATGGAGCCCAGCCTTGCCAGGGCTGAGTGACCAGCAAGCCCAGCTTCCAGGAAGAGGCACTGGACAGTCAGACCTTTCCCAGGCTCTCCAGGTCCTAGACTCCTCTCTGCTTCACACACCCCCAAGGACAGGGGTGAGCAGAGACCACCACCAGAGATTCAGATGACAGAGAGCGAGCGCTGCCAAACTCAGGAGTCCCCAGACACATGGACAAGGCTGACCCCAGACCCCAGCTCCATGAGGCCATTGGGTCAGCACCTTTCCATCAGCTGGTATCACCACTAAACTGAAGAGTGATGTGTGTCCAGAGGACATGCAGTGAGTGCCCAGGACATGCAGAACCCTCGAGGCAAGCACCACTCAGCTGGGCCTCAAAGCAGGTGTCCTCACAGCACACTCTGCAAAAGGAGCCTTCCCTTCATCTCTGCCCGAGTCACAGAGCAGGGACCAGCATCCTGGGGGCAGCCCTCACCTCTTCCCAAGGGAGGGGCACACCAGGGTAAGGACTTAGACCCAAAGCAGGCCCAGGCTCCTGTCCGCACCTGTGCTGTGTCTGGTGGGGATGGGCAGGATTGTCCAGCAAAGATGTCCCTGGCATTGGGGGAGGCACATTGGGCTTTTCCTGCATGGTGCCATGAGTCCCATTGCTGGGTGGGCAGCA